TGGACAGGCCATGAAACAGCTTTTATTTTCATGGTCCGTGGTGGACAGGCCACGAAACAGCTTTTATTTTCATGGTCCGTGGTGGACAGGCCATGAAACAGCTTTTATTTTCATGGTCCGTGGTGGACAGGCCATGAAACAGCTTTTATTTTCATGGTCCGTGGTGGACAGGCCATGAAACAGCTTTTATTTTCATGGTCCGTGGTGGACAGGCCATGAAACAGCTTTTATTTTCATGGTCCGTGGTGGACAGGCCACGAAACAGCTTTTATTTTCATGGTCCGTGGTGGACAGGCCATGAAACAGCTTTTATTTTCATGGTCCGTGGTGGACAGGCCATGAAACAGCTTTTATTTTCATGGTCCGTCCCGTGGTGGACAGGCCATGAAACAGCTTTTATTTTCATGGTCCGTGGTGGACAGGCCATGAAACAGCTTTTATTTTCATGGTCCGGGGTGGACAGGCCATGAAACAGCTTTTATTTCCATGGTCCGTGGTGGACAGGCCATGAAACAGCTTTTATTTTCATGGTCCGTGGTGGACAGGCCATGAAACAGCTTTTATTTTCATGGTCCGTGGTGGACAGGCCATGAAACAGCTTTTATTTTCATGGTCCGTGGTGGACAGGCCATGAAACAGCTTTTATTTTCATGGTCCGTGGTGGGCAGGCCACGAAACACCTCATGTTTTCATGGTCCCTGGTGGACAAGCTCTCGGGTGATGGTTTCATGGAAAGGACAACGGATTTATTCATTGTCCGTGGCATATATGAGCGATCTTGTATATATCGCGGACTTGCCTTGACACGACTTTCTACCACTACCACCGCCACCACCACCACTGTGATGAATCTCTCTTCCCTGCTCGGTGTCTTTTTCGCGTTCCATAAGGATTGCTATTCCATGGGTCCGTGGAAAACAAATTCTAGTATTGTGGTTCCATGGAGGAGACAACGAAGATTTTTGCATAATGAAAGTGGGCGCATGCAACAGTCACTACATGTTTTTCATGGTGGACGTGCCGGAAAGACAACAAATTCATGTCCTGTCAATTGTGGTTTCATTGAATAGGCAGCAAAGAATTTTCCTAGCTACTATTTACGTATGTGACAGCCACTACATGTATTTCATGTCCTAATGGTCCAATAGTAGTCAAGAAAGGCTTCATTGTGGTTTCAACAAAAAGACAATGCGATTTTTGGTTTGAAAAGACATGCCAATCTGTTATGCTTGGTGGTTGCTAGCTATATTATTAGCTGGAAATGTTTGTTGGCAACGGAGGTGAAAATAATTTTCCGGAACGGAAGTGATCTATATTATTAGCTGGAAATGTTTGTTGGCAACGGAGGTGAAAATAATTTTCCGGAACGGAAGTGAAAGTGGAGAAAGTTAAGTTTCGAATGGCGCGAAAATTCAAAATAAATTAAATTCGAAAAATTAAATGCCAGAACGTGTGGTACTCTTTGTGGGCGGTTATCTGAGAGTGGAGGTTATTTGGGGCGATGGTTATCTGGGGGTGGTGGTTATCTGGGGTGGGTGGTTATCTGGGGGTGGGTGGTTATCTGGGGGTGGGTGGTTATCTAGGGATGGCGGTTATTTGGGAGTGGGCGGTTATCTGGGGGTGGTGGTTATCTGGGGGTGGGTGGCTGTACCCCCAGATAGGAGGGGCAGTTAGGTAACAAGATTCGATTCGAACGTTCATGTCATGGACTGTTTGTGTTTAGTGTGCACATGTTTGCACTAAACAAGATCGTCGCCTCATGTCGTGAACTGTTTGTGTTTAGTGTGCACATGTTTGCACTAAACAAGATCGTCGTTTCATGCCATGAACTGTTTGTGTTTAGTGTGCACATGTTTGCACTAAACAAGATCGTCTTCTCATGTCGTGAACTGTTTGTGTTTAGTGTGCACATGTTTGCACTAAACAAGATTGAAAGTGGTTATCGGGGTATGTCTGCTGCATGGTGGTTATCGGGGTGTGGCGGCCTGCTGGTGGTTATCAGGCTGTGGCTGCCTCACGGTGGTTATCTGGGAGTAGTTATTTGATGGATTGTCGTTTGGGTGTGGTTGCCAATGCAGATCATTGCCAATGTCGGACTAGGCTGGTAAAGATGGCAGAGCCAAGTGAGTGCCAGACAAACTGTCAGTGGCACTGTCATTGCCAATGCCAGACTAGGCTGGTAGATATGACAGACTGGGATGGCAGAGATGACAGAGCCAAGTGGGTGACATTTAATTGTCCACTTTAACATGCGTTGCAAATTGCTTTCACTTCCGTTCGCGTCAAATTGTTTTTTAAAATAAATATATACAAAATATTTAACTGGTGAAATTTTGATAATCTAATCATCTCTCGCCCGGCGGGAGACGGGCTTATACGCTAGTACGATAATATGCTGAACGATTTAGTAGGTACAAGGTTATGAGTGATCTCCATTTGATGCCAGATGCAGAGTTATGATTCGATAATCCATAGTATAAATCATGCACACTTATCATTGAAATGTATTCTTAAAGTGGTCCAAACTATCCTATAACAGAGTTTGCAAAAGTGTCTGTAAATATGATAACAATAAAAATTGATAGAATATATATACATAAACAAACCATAAACAATAGCTGGGATTTGATGTTTCTAGTAACAAGAGAAGGAGAACGGAAGTATAAAACTGTTTACACATGTCAAAATTAGTTACTAAGAGGGATGCTTAATCGCTATGTTTCTCATCAGCGTGCTTAAACATTATTTGAAAAGTTTCCTTGAAAGGGTACAATGGTCCAAAATAGGTCAAAAAGTCCACGAGACTGTCCAAAGCCTCTTTAGACTCTAAGAATCGTCGTAATCGAGCTTTCCTGTCAGTTGTAGTGTAAGCCTTGATGCGGTTATACTGCGACCAAGGAGTAATTTTCTGTTTAACGGTGAATAATTGAAAAAGACAAACCTATATACCTGCATGAGTGTGGTCAAGACGTTGTCCGTTATTGATTCATTCACGATTGTAATTTGCTGTTCCTTTACTGCTTCACACCACTTGAGGATGCAATAATTCTTTACTACAATAAATTTTTGTTAACATCCGTAATTATATATTGTGTTTGTAGTCGACTTCTAACCATTGAATACGAGGTCAAATCCGCCGTGAAATGCAGCAACGCTCGCCGTCTTAAATCCGTCATTCCTACTCATCTCGACGGGAAGATTAGTAGCCAGCCAGGTTTCATAAGCTCCATTTCTCTAGAAAATAAGTGAAATCAATCCCTGACTGGGATTGTGCATAATTCAACCGAACTAATTTTTTTATTGTATCTATACTATTAGCTGGAAATGTCTACTGGCAAGGCAGTGAAAGTAAATGTTCCGCAATGGAAGTAAAAGAGGCTTCCATTTAACTTTAACTTCACTTAACTCACTTCACAAGGTTGGCCAAGACAACCAATATTACTATTAGTAGACAAACCCTCAGGACAACCAACCCTAAAGAACCATCGACAGACAACCATTCCCAGATAACCACTATCAGACAACCAACTGGAGATGCGTTGTGTCACGTCACTGTACCACTGTACAGAACAGCCCAGCATAACCGTCCCAGTCCCGATCTGGCACAACCAGTCGACCCTGTGCTGTACCCACAGCACAGCTCAGCACATTGGTCCCACTGTCGACGTGACACAACTCGTCGACCGTGTGCTGACATCACCCGATGATCTCGTGCAGTGCAAACATGTGCACATTAAACACAAACAGGCTAAGACTCGACATGGCGATCTTGTTTAGTGCAAACATGTGCACATTAAACACAAACAGTCTATGACCCGACATGGCGATCTTGTTTAGTGCAAACATGTGCACACTAAACACAAACAGTCTATGACCCGACATGACGATCTTGTTTAGTGCAAACATGTGCACACTAAACACAAACAGTCTATGACCCGACATGACGATCTTGTTTAGTGCAAACATGTGCACACTAAACAAGATCACCATGTAGAGTCATGAAGATTTTGTTTAGTGTGCACATGTTTGCACTAAACAAGATCTTCATGACCCTACATGGTGATCTTGTTTAGTGCAAACATGTGCATACTAAAAACAAACAGTTGATGAGATGACCCGAAAATCTTGTTTAGTGCAACCATGTGCACACTAAACAATCAGCTTGTGGCGTGACACGACGATCTGGTTCAGTGCAAACATGTGCACACTGCCCAAACTGTGTGTGTGCTGATGTGACACCAACGATCAAATAAAGTGCAAATTAAACTAAATGCAAAGTTAAAAAAATCACACCTCGTCGCCATCGTCGTCGTCATCGTAGTCGCCCCTATGCACCCCTACATTCATGTCCCTCTTGTCCCAGCACATGCGAACAAATACAAAATTTAACCTCTGTCCATTCCCTCATTTTTCGGTACCTGGACAGAGTAAGAGTGTTAAATTTGGTAATGAGATTGTGTCATCAGGATGGTGGCTACTACCATTGACGTATAATAAAACAGAACTAGATAATAATACAGAATACTAGAGTTGGGTGAAATGGCGGGTAGGCAAATTTGGAGTTTTAGCGAGACACAGGCTTTGACAAAGGAGCTGCTCAATCAGGGGCGACTCTTTGCACCCACAGGTGAGATTGACATTGGCCCCTTTGCCAACAACAAGGTAAAACGCACTCAAACATGTATATATTTTACTATTGTGATACAATTGTTTAATTCAATTTTTGTAGTTTTTGTCAAACCGATCCCCGATCCAAATAAAGAAAAAAATTACAACATTGCGGGAGAACCCTCTAATGTGGTCCAGATATATGACATTGGATCAACTATTGTCGGTAAAGCACAATGAAACCAGACCGTATTTGATTCTACGATCCATCCTGACGGCAAGAGTCGAGCGGGAGAGAGTAGGATTAACCACGAGGAAGCAGCTACCTCCTGCTCCTCCTCCTCCTCCGCCGCCGCCGCCGCCGCAGGCGATTAAACCAATTAGATTAGATCATGGGAGCAGCCCCCTCCAGCACAACTTGGATTCAAGGCCTCTCAGCCGGGGGAACATCACAACACAGAAATGGACAAGAAAGGAGACAGAGTTTGACAAACGAGCTGTCTAGATTGGGACTCTTGTATGCAGAAATGAACAAGATTGATTTTGCCACATTGTCACAAATTCAGGTAGAAAAAGAAATCCAGAATAATACGTACGATTATTAAGGTTAATAATAATAATAAAGGTAATAATGATAAATTAGGGGTTAGAAGCAAGAACAATCACTCAAATCAAGACAAAGCTTCGTGCCCTGAGGTGCAATCCTTCACAATGGGCAAAATTTTTGACCCTTGGGCAATTTTTAAAGGGTGGTAGAAGCAGTTTTGACTACCGAGTACAATTCCGTGAACTGTGTGCCATTTTAACGGGACGCGAAAAAAAACAAATACCAGTTGTGACACTGTCCGATGATGACGATGACAAAGACGAGGATGGTGCCGAATCATTAGTCAGACTAATACTAGTTAAAGCTCCAGAGACAAATCATGTGACGGAAGAGTACAGCAAATCAACATCAGAGGACCCAGAAATTCCTTTTGCTGACCGAGAGCAAGGCTTAGATGATTGCGAAGACCCCCTGGATAAAGCGCTTGAATACGTATCCAAGTTTCAAGGGTGGTCTAGGGTGGATAATATTGGAGAATTTTTTAAAACATGTGCTAGAAAGGTTGGATAACTAACCTATAACATATATAACCAAGCAATGATTGACTCTTTTCTGTTTTTGCACAAACACACAACAGTACAATTGTGATGCCCAGCAGCTTGGATTAATTTGTACTACATACGAAGGCGACCGCCACCGACAGGTGTCCACACAAGATCGGTTGTTTACACGGCCTCTACCCTCAGCGTCGTCATCATCATCAGACGGATGCGAGAAGCAGCCGGATGCCCTGAAATTCGCCAGGCTAGACCCAACCTTTCGAGACACTGACCAGAACTGGAAACGATTAATGGACAGTGTAAGTTGTTCCATTTTGATCAGTTAGCCAAAACTTGAAACTTGCAAAGTACGTTTTTTTTTTGGTTTGTTTATAGGACGGCTGGGACATGGACGTTATTGGGTTCAAACATATTGTCCAGACGACCCGTGTGTACAAGTCAAACAATCTGGATCCAAATAAACAGATACAACCGGAGCGAAATGTTGCAATCCACCACCCCACAACCATTGTCCCTCTCCCGCTAAACCGCCAACAGCAGCAGCAACCGGACAAGAGTAGAAGCAACATTCAGACTACCGTGCGTGGAGAACCAATAGGGAGGGGTATGACAATCACCGCCGCCCTACAAGCCACTATCGTGAATCGTGATCTTCAACAACAACAACAACAACAACGACTCGAACCACCGAGTGCTCCTAGTATCAATAAACCCCTGTCACCCACAACCTTGGATGTCATGATGAACGGCACTCTAGAGGAGCAAGCTAATGACAACATGGCCAATAATCTTGAATGGGACAAGTGGGTAAATCAAGAGTTTGAGCCACGCAAACTGCCGAGCCCGATGGACGGCAATTACCATCCTCACACTGTGACTGAAAAGGAGCATAGAGACCTCATGACCTGCTTTAGGGGGTTGACGGACAGGGAGTGGGAAAAAATGCTTGGTATCATTGTGCAGTTGGATTTAGGACCAGAGTTGTTAGAGGACTCTACATGGGATAAAATTGTTTTAAAGGCTCAGGTACGTCCTCTCAAATCTTTAGTGGTGTAGGTTTTACTAGTCGCATCACATATAGAGACCAAAACACGTTTAATCCTTTATTTAGATCATTACGTCTCGAAAGCCCAAGCAGTTGAGAACCACGTTTCTAAACGATATCGTCCCAAATCTGGCCAGCAGATTTAATTTTCACGAGGAATCTGTGCGGTATTTGAAGCGATTCGGGCGTCCCACCTTCCGGATAGTAAACCCCTTCATTGGCATCAAATTGCTCAGATCAATTTATAAACTCTTGTCCCTTGCCCAAGTAAACAAACTGTTTCAGAAACAATTTGGCATAGTCCTGCTCAAGACGGATAACTTGACCAACTGGGAAGACTGGGAGCGCGAGTTTTTTTACTCTATACACCGGCACGAGTTTACGGAAATGATGGACCAAGAACACGTATCTCACGCACTAACAATTATGGACGCATTAAATTATAACCTGGCGGCCTTCAGGTTTTTGTTTTCTGAAACCAAAACCAATGATTTGCAACGAGCCGCACTTGCATCAAGTTGTGTCGAGTACTTGAAACTCTTGTCAAAAAAGAGTGAGCAGTTGGTAAGAGTAATTTAAGAATGCCTTGCTAATCTTCTATCTTCTATATTATAAGCTGGAAATGTTTGTCTGCAACGGAAGTGAAAGTAATTTTCCACAACGGAAGTGAAAGTGGAGAAAGTTAAGTTTCGAATGGCGCGCGAAAATTCAAAAATTTTAATTTAATACAAAATTATTGTTCATTTACGACAACTAAATAACAATACAAGATAATCTCCATCAGATAATCACTATCTGAAAACCCGCAGATAATCCATGATAACCACTCTCAGATGACAGCCAGTGCAGTGCATACCGATACCGCTGCACCAACAGTTTCCTGCAGTGTGCACATGTTTGCACTAAACAAGATTGTCGTGTCATGTCATAAACTGTTTATGGTTGTCTGATGGTAGTTATCTTTGGGGGGCTTATCTCTGAGTGATTGTCTGATGGTGGTTATCTGCGAGTGGTTGTCTGATGGGAGTTATCTGATGGTGGTTATCTGGGAATGGTTGCCTGATGGTAGTAATCTTTTTTTTTTTTGGGGGGGGGTTATCTCGGAGTGGTTGTCTGATGGTGGTTATCTTGGGGATTAGAGGGGGTTGCTTATCTTAGAGTGGTTGTCAGAAACTTGACTGTCTTTACTTTCACTTCCGTTGCGGAACATTTGCTTTTATTTCGTTGCCGGCAGACATTTGCAGCTTATAATTCTCGCTCGCCCGACGGGAGACGGGCTTATAAGCTAGTGAGTTTATATTTCTTTTTACATTTTATTGTTTAGATTTACAATATTATTTAGCCCTTAATCATTTTTTTTGCGTGCCAATCTAACCAACAAAACCTAAAACAACTCTAATTTAGGTTTCCACCACCACCACCACTTTTGCTGACAATGATCCCGAAATTCTTTTTGCCAGTGTTGATGCTTTACCAGAGGATTCAAGGGAATGGGCATTCTCCTTTTTAAAGAAAAATCTACATGCTCTTTACAAATAAATCGACTATTTTACAAAGTAACGTACAAAAATAGCCAAAAATTAGTGTACCACATGAAATTGTTGTAGTACCTTGACATGAAATACAGATTAATTAATTTAATTTCCCAACAAAAAATAAAACTCGGATTCAATCAAACGTTCCATGTGGAATTGCGTAAAACACTTTTGCATAACACACTTGCGGCATAAGATTTATTGTATAAATTCCACTTACCATAATAACCAGAGCTTTCTACATTTTACCGTTTGACATAATTACCAAATAGTCAAGATTGATCATAATCATAAAAAACCAGTGTACCTAGTACTAATATGATTCTTACATTATACTAAATTTCAAGTTATCTATTTGAAAATTAGTATGTCTTAAAAATATTTCAAAGTCAAACTTGATATTAAACATCATCCATTAACGAGTTGGACTGACGAAATAAATTGTGCAGAATTTTTTACACAGTTTATGCAATTTCAAAAAAGTTACATATGCTTACTACTAAAGGGTTTGGATTGCCATGCAGTTCCAATTTTAATGATTCAATTCCGCTGTCTGCTACAGATTGTAGTTTCTTCTTCCGATTTCGCGTCAAATTCCGCCCATAGACTGCACCAACTTTCAAGTTGATTTTCTTCCATCTGTTCTTAAATTTTCATAAGCTGTCTGGCGTTTCCGAAAGCTTAGAATATTTGGACTTGGTCAGCGCTAAGAATTTCTCAACTGGTCCCAGTTGAGGAAAATTTGGTGGGTTTCCATTTTTTGGCACAAATTCAATTTTTTTCAGATGTCGGTAATGAGTGACCTTTTTGGTGTCATGGGACCTTGCGAGGTCAGGCCAAAGCAAAACTTTATTTTTTATGATCCTTGGTAATAAACGATTCCAATCCCCCTTTAATGCATGATTTAAGATAAACTCCGTGGTTTACAATGCCCTCCAAAATAACGGGATCGGAAACATGACCAATGCTAGACATGCTTTGCCAAATTCTTCGTTTTTTTTGTGAATTGGTCTTTCTTTTGGACTCTATGGCTATGGAAAAAATGCCTGGAAGATTTAAAGGGTCAGCTGTGACATGGTGCTCATCGTCCATGATGACCACGTTCCCCCGAATTTTCTTCAACTATTTCTTGCATCACATATCAATTATCATTTTGTGTTGGTTTGTAATTTGGTGCTGGTTTTTTTCCCCGGCTACAATCCCGAGTTTGTGGGCTTTGATTTTGCCTATATAGCTTTTTGAAATGTTGACCTTCCTTTCCGCTCCTGCCATTGTCGTTGATGGATAATTTTTGAATATTTTTTTTATCTGATTATTTTTGACTTTTGTCGTCGGTAGCTTTACAGGTCGACCAGTTGGGACTTTGAGTTTGACGTCATTGGATTCCCCGTACTTTTTTACGTAAGAGTAACTTAACATTTGAATGAGGAATATCTTCTTGCTTGAAAAAGTGCCAAGTGATTTTAGAGATTTTAGTTTGTTCGATTTTTGTGCAACTCAATCACTTTTTTCTACTCTTGCCTTTCAACCCAAATTGTTCTATTCTTAGCCATGACTCTATAATTGTTGACATGTATCAATGGAATGCTTATAACTTGGTCTATTCAAAAATAGTTTTTTCGAAATTTAATGCCGCCTAGCGCGCCTTTTACCGGAAAGTCCAATTCGTTAGTGGATGATCTTTAGGTATCAAAGCAACCATCTGCAATCAACAAAGCACTAAAATTCGAGTAAAATTTGCTTTTCCATCGTGGTTTGAAGAGGGAAAGCTGTGATTTTTCGTGAACTTGACCGTGTGCGGTGGGCGCAAATCGGGCCATGCAAGAAAATATTCTTTCCCCTTTAGTACACTAACATACATTTTAATAATACTGATTAGTGGATGGATAATGTCTTATCCAAAGTGATTTGCGATGCATGAAACATAATATTCGATGATAGAGTAATGTCATAGTCATTCAATTCATGGGTAAGCATAAGGGTTTGCTTTTGCTAATTTCGTATAATACGAGCATTATATCATAGCATAATATAAAAAATCCTGTCAACATAACTGGGAATCATTCAAGATTAATCCATGCAATAAGGGTACTAAGCAAAAAAATTGAATTTCACCCCATACGAAATCAAACAAGACAAATATTATCTGTTTTAGCAACAACCTAGGCACCTGTTCAGCCCTTGCACCTCCAATCAAAGAAGATGATCTATATATAGTGATATCCAACAACAGAAGCCGCGATGTAATCAACTTTGGGGCGCAATATTCCGGAATATACTTTCAAATGGGCAGTATGGTAATGAAGTTTTGTATGAATAGTTATGCTTGATGGTATAAAAAATCCATATTTATTGCATTAAATGTTTTAACAATTCAACATTTTTTGATAGCATGAACAACAAAACTATTTCATAACATTATTTTTTTAACGTGATATAAATAGCACTAACAAAGAAAGATTCGACTTATTAATAGATGGCTACAGCTGGATGGGATAGTATTAACTGTTTTTTTTTGAAAAATTAATATAAATTTTTGATTAAACCTCTACATTCAAGAAATTAATCTAAACTAAATACCCAGTCTCGTCAATACTGGTATAACACACTAGTTCCATATGATTAAAGAGTTCAAGGGATTGACAAAGTGGACACTTGAACCGATGCCCAATGAAAATGTCCTTTATGAGACAAGAGCAGCAGATAAAAGTATTAGCGGAGCAGTCACATTTCAAACAATTATTCTTGTAGCGGCAGCATAGTTGACAATAGTAAGGTTTTTGGCGCGAGTTAGTTCCCAAATCCACAGTTGGTGCGGGTGCTGCTGGATCCACGACCACCACCGCCCCTTGATCCCTGTTGTGTCTGTTGTCCCCTGCTGCTATTGACATTTCCTCTTCCTCTCCCCTCGGATGTTGTTGTTGTTGTTACTGCTGCTGCTGCTGATAATGATGATGATGAGGCTCTGGGGCGACTGGGATCAAAAACTGAGCCGGCACTGGCGCGATACGTGTTATGTTGTAACATGGCTCGTTGAACACTCGTTTCGGGACTGTTTCTATCAATTGTCTGGCCATACTGGGTGACCTTCCTTCTTGTGGCGACAGCAGCCTAAGCGAAATTGATTTAAAAATGTTCATTATTACTACAAAAAAAAAAACATTTTCCACAGGATATAAATTAAAATCCCCTACCTTATCTCCTGTTCATCAGTATCCCTCCTCCTCCGTTTTGGCACGACACAGTTGTAGCGGCTCAAAAATCTCCTATTCTCGAGCACACGTACTTGATCCTCGTGGAGTGCAAGTGACCAAATCAGATGATGTGAGGGGCCCCCAAGCTGAATTTGGCTTTCAAATCCCGTAAACCTGACCGCAATTTGAATTTTTGTCACATAACCAGGAAAGGAATGCTACAATATTTGGAGCTTAATGACCAACTTACACAAATTCGTTTAAAACAAAAGACTTTCTTTCGTATAGAGTATCTTCGTCAATAATGTAAACTTGTTGACCCTTCGGCAATCTGCTACAAATGTAGACTTTTTCATCAACCCCCGTCAATTCCTATTCTTCACCCTTAAAGTTCCTAACGGTTAAAATCCCGTCCTCTTCCCTCACAAATTGGTAAAATCTATACAGATCTTCGCGCTGTTTCCGGACAACAAGGAATTTGCAAGTTGCTGAAATGGAAATTGCCAAAATATCAAATTTATTACAAACCTCTTACTTTTGACAATGACCAAAGAAATCCTCCTTGCGTGCATTTGGATTTTCAAATCCCTTAACGCCCCTTGCCCCGTCATTCACGATTTCCGTTTCTTGAGAACTCGATCTCGACATTATAAGCAGTCTCTGTAATTTAATTAACTTTGTTAAAAAATATATGAGACAAAGTGAACGTGATGGGATAAACTATATATAACCAACTAGCGTATAAGCCCGTCTCCCGCCGGGCGAGAGATGATTAGATTATCAAAATTTCACCAGTTAAATATTTTGTATATATTTATTTTAAAAAAAACAATTTGACGCGAACGGAAGT